AAAAAGGGGAAGCTAGTATTCTTTAAAGGCATAGACATATATTATCTTTTAAAAAAATTCAGCCTTTTCCTCAACCATAGAGATTATACAAATACTCTAAATTCAATTTGATGATGGTGATGATGATGATGTTGATGGTGGTGGAAAACATAACAACGAAACAGAAAAAAGAACAAAATGCATGGAAATGACGAAAATGGTTTTAACATTCTGTTTTCTTTTGTTTGGGACTACACGTACAAACTTGAATTTAGCGAGCTGCTGGGTATTTCGAGTAGTAAGTCGTGCGAAGTTGGCATTTTTTTTGTTTTAAACCTACATTCAGCACTGATTCACATGATCGTTCAAACGTATTTGCCGGATAAATCATGCTCTCAGTTACCTGTTTTGGCGGACAGTGTCACCTTCGTTGATTGTTTTTATTTAGGAGAGGAATAAGAAAACTCATCGTAATGTGATGATTGCCTATCCACTTTAGGAACATATATATTTTTGGAGGTGTATAAAAAATGCATGATAAATAAATGATCCAAAATGACTGGTTTATCTAATATCTATATTATGTTACAATAGCATTTCAAACCTTCGGTAGAAAGGTCAAAAGTGGGTCCGTGTTTTAGGGCAGATATTGGTTTACCTGAATAGAATTTTGTCTGGGTTGTTGACGCAGTTGTTGTTAGTTTTCTCACTCGTGAAGTTGTCGATGCTTGCGATTCATCAGTCAGTCCTAAAGTTAGTGATTCACTATTAGCATTCTCATATAAAGATATACAAATACTCCTAAGCCAAAATTGATGATGCTAATCATGGTGGTAAATAACAACAAACACACAGAAACAGACTCACAAAAAAGAAGAACCAAAAGTATACTTAAAATATGAGTATAATTTTCTTTTCCCTTATTTGTTTATTTTTTTGTTTTTATTTTTGTTCGTTTGTTTGTTTTGTTTTTTGTTTGTTTTGTTTGTTTTTTTTTATTATTGCTTGTTTGTTCCTCTTTATTTTCCTGCATGTATAAACTCTAAGTTAGAGTGCTATTAAGTAGGGGTTGCTCAGAGTAAGTCGAGGAAAGTCATGTCTCTTTACTTGATTCATTCCTACATTCAGAACTGATTCACACTATTGTTTCGACAGATATGTTGGGTAAGTCGTGCCTTCAAAAGTTGTGCACTTCGAGCCATTTGTGCTTGCAAAATAGCCCCGTAAAATGCTAAAAATATTTTTTATATACATATATTTTTAATTCTCCTAGCGTCAAAATCTCTATATCAAGACATGCAGATAAAAGTATTCATCATCCTGTGTGTGTTTCCGCTGTAGTGCGGTGCGTGTAGTAGGACTAGGCGCTAATTATGGAAGAGCATAAGGTGTTCGTAAAATTCTCTTAAGTTTTCCGCTTCTCATCCCCATCTTGTAATAACTGAATATTTTATCCTGTTTGTTCAATTGTTTGTTTGCTTGTCTAGTCGCTTGTGTTAATTTTTCATTCATAGGGGTGGTAAGAGGTTGAAGTGTAACTTCCAACATGACGTCTGCAGTAGTTTTGGTACAAATTAGATATCCAAGTTTCGACGAATTCAATCCTACCTTCTGAGAGCATCTTATGACCATCTGTTAATTGTGTTCTTGGAGAACTGGCAGTTGCCTTGATTGCGATCGATTGGTTGGTTGATACAGGTCCTGTCTTCTCCTCCACGAAAATACTCTCGTTTTTTGAAACTATGGAACAATCTAGAACAAAAATATGAGTTTAAATCAGGCTTGCTTTAAAATCAAAGTCCGATAGGATCTTTTTATTACGCACTGCAA